TTTGCTTCCACAACAGTCAGGGTAACAGGAATGCCTCATTTTCCCTCATTTTTTAAATTGGAAATATTAAGAATAAGGCCAGACATTTGTGGCTCATACTTGTAATCCCAGCTCTTCAAAAGATCTTCAAACAGAGATTGATCTGAGGATCACAATTTGAAGCAAGCCTGGAGAGAAAAGTCTATAAGACTCCATCTCTCATTAACCAGCAAAATGCCAGACTGGAGGAGTGTTTCAAATGATAGAGCACCAGCTATAACCGAGAAAGCTGAAAGTGTGTAGCCCTGAGTTCAAACCCCTTACCAGAATACATACACATTGTATACATTAGAGTAAAATTATATATCTATCACAGTGAAATCTACCACAGTGAAACACATCCAAATCTTATCTACCCTGGGCCAGTAGAGCTGGAAGAAGGGTTGTGTTCTGTGATTTGATGGCTTACTCAAATCAGACTCACCTTATCCCCACATGCTTCACCACTGATGTCCTTGGAATATCATGGTTAATTCTGTGAGATCTTTGTTCAGTGTGTATTTTACAATGTAGACCTCAGCAGGTAATGCCATACATATACGATTCCAGTATATCCTGATACAAAATCGCCTCTGATGACTGTCCTTTGCTTCCCAAAATCTGTTGTTTTATGGTTGCACAGACTGCTACCACATACCTTGGTACTTCTCACCTTTCCAAAAGCAAAATCTGTAATTATTTCTCTTCTAACATATGGCAGCACTGTAGGCTGGCTGACTCTTGGCTTACAAACATGTTTGAGGTAAACATGAAAATTCATCACTGTACAATGACATATACCTCTGATTGGAAGGATGAATGTGTGTTTTCAACTAGATATCAGATGCACTTCTCATTGCAGTGAATATTTCTCTGGTGACTGGTATCTGGGACACAATGAGATTTACATCCTCTCCTCTATGGGAAAACATTTTTTCTTCTTTGTGGATCTTCAGGCAACTCCAACTTCCAGAGCAGTCAAACTTACAACTATTTCTCTCTCCTTCATTTGTGAGAACCCAGCCTAACCAATGATAAGCCCAGACAAGGATCTCTCAGCACATATTCCTTACTGATAGTCTCAGTCTCTAATCCATTACTGCCTGTTTCTTCCCAGTGAATACAAGACCAGCCAGATTTATTCTTGTATCAGTGCCCATTGAAGACTGATGTGCTGATTCTTTATCTACTTTCAAACAATATTTTGGTTTATTTTTATAATAATTATTATCTTCTATTAATAATAATTATAATTCTTATTATCTTCAAGTGTTTGCACAAAGAGGTTTCCAGTCAACATGTTGGTTTATAAATGTAATACATCTTGATCAATGCAACCCCTTCCATCATCCTCCACCATCTCTCTCAACCCTACCTATCCCCTCAAGTCACCTGCTTCCATTTTCACACAGGTAATTTAAATATTATGACTATATTCACTCACACATCTTCACTTCATTTGTCTGCCTTTGCTCTCCATGACCTCACCCACTTCTGACAACATAGGTTCTAGCTTCTTGGTATTCATTTAATTATACTTTAATTGCTCAAAGGAGTTACACAATTGGAATAATCTCATGCTTATACTATAATCAATTTGTGAACATACACCTATGACCCTGTATATGTTTTCAGATATGTTTATAATTTATATGATCTTAATGCATATGGCTTATCCAATAAACCAATGCTTCTTGCAATTGTTTTGGAAATCTCACTTTCAAAAAACCTAGTGCTAGACTTGCATGATCTATCACCTTCCCACAGTTTCTTTCCAAATGAGAAAGTTAGTGATGCACCCAGAGCCATCTCAAATGTCTGTTTCAGATGTGTGTATGTGTGTATGTGTATGTGTGTGTGTGTGTGTATTTAATGTTGGTAGGAGATATGGTGAAATGGAAAAGACTGAAGAATATTGGCAAAACTAAAAGTTGGTTATCTTTGCATTTTAATGATGAATTCTATCTTTTTCTTCATTAGCATGATCAGTAAATGAAAATTATAATATGAAGACTGTTTATCATCATCCTCTCTCTATCTTTCTCTCTCTTTCGGTACCACAGTTTGCGCTAAAGACATTGCACTTACTTGGTCTACTTGTTGTACTGGCAATTTATCACTTGAGCCAAGCCTTCGGCCTGACTTTTTGCTGGTTAATTAGAGATGGAGTATCATAAGGTCTAAGTTGGATTTGAACCATAATCAGAATCTCAGCCTTCTGGGTAGTCAGGATTAACACAAGCCACCATTGTCTGGCTATTGCATTACCTCTTTAAACCAACACATTTTCATCATAAGTGAAAAAAATTACTATTTGATTCTAATATTTCTCTATTGCTAATATTACATCTATTCTTTTATGATTTGATTACATGGATCAACACTGATCAAATGGATTGAAATCCCAAAATGCTCAAAGCCAGTCACTGAAGAATATGCTTTTAAACATATACTAGAGAGCTAGCAAAAAATGCGGAAGACAGTGATGAGCCCAGAGAGAAAGATATTTCAGTCAGCTATTGAGAAATCTACATTACATGGATCCCTAATGCATTCTAGATCCATACTGTATTTTGTTTAAATGAGTTTTGAGACAAGACATCAACCTTACATGTATGGGGGAAGGGACTTACTAAACTACAATTTCACTTAAAGTAACAGTTCTGCAGCCATGATATTCAATGTTTATATGTGAAAAATGGATCTAGGAAAATTGAGGGGATGGGTGGGACTAAACAGGTGACATTGAGCAAGCTGCATTGTACTCATGTTGAATTGAAACTGCTTTATATGACTACTTAAAGGTAATAATAATAATAACAATAATAGAATTCTAGTTTTTGGTCTAAACAGTATGAAAGAGATTCATCAGATTAGTTTTTTTTTTCATGACTAGTCAACCTACATTTATCATAAAGTTCATGCTGAAATGTAGGCAGTCCATAACTGCATGTAAATGCAGACAATCTAGATGTTGTTAGTATGACAGTGACAGATCCCAGTTCTCTGGCAATGATTCTCTTTATTGAGGATCCATAAACATGGCAAGCTTCTGACCACCAGCTGTGTTGACTAGCTGATCAATACAAGTATGAAATTACAAAGCATCTGCGGAATGTGCACTTGGTTTGAGCCACATGTCCTTTGCTTAGAAAAAAGTATTTTAGAAGAGTATGAATTCCTGCATTACTCTGGCAGATGTATTCATTGCTTATGACAGTCTCATCTCTCCTCTTCATCCAATGATTATATAACACATGCACATGCTTTTAATTGACACATATAAGAAAGTGCAAGATGATTCTGTAAGAATATTGATTTGTATTCTCTGAGAAATGTGTCTTAAGCTATGCATTTAAAGGAGTTATACATGATACTGAAAATCAAAACAATAGATGCCACACTATTATTCTATCATGCATATATTTCACAAAATACTTTTGAATTTCTCCTTGTGAACTGCTCTTGACATTCCCTCAAAGGTGCCAAGTACTTATTTCACGAAGGGAATTTAACTTATACATAATCTAAATTTATCTGTAAAGTGTCACTTCACAGAATAAAGTGGCTGTATAGTATGGGTATCAAGACAATATGATGGGAAACAAGGATGTAAAATAATTCCCTGTGTGTGTGATTCAACGTAGGTCCAAGAGAAAATGTGTATCTACATACATTTTATCTATTTATAAAATGTCCCAAGGGAGAAAAGAGTAATGTAATTTTTGAATGCCCAAGGCAATTATTTTTAATTTTCTTTCCTTCCTTCTCTCTCTCTCTTTTTCTTTTTTCTTTTTTTGGTTGGTCATGGAACTTGAACTCTGGGCCTCAGCATTGTTCCTGAGCTCTTCAGCTCAAGACTAGCACTTTACCACTTTGAGCCATAGAGTCACTTCGGGTTTCCTGATGATTAATTGGAGATAAGAGTCTCACAGACTTTCCTGCCTGGGCTGGCTTTGAACTGTGATACTCAGATCTCAGCCTCCTGAGTAACTAGGATTACAGGTGTGAGCTACCAGTGCCCAGTTCATTTTTAATTTTCTAATGATAATTAGGTAAAACTCTTAGTCTAACCACACGCCATATGTAAACATATTCTTTGTCCACATCTGATGCATGCTGGGACAAGCATGTTCAGTGCTTCTGATAATTCTCTGGTACACCATCTTGGATGGTAAAACAGGAAGAATGCAAATTCTGTTCCCAGCAACAACTGGACAAAATGATTAAAAACAGACTGGTTAGGGCTTACAATGTGACCAAAGTCTAACAGTACACTAATGATGTTTATTTATGAAAAATGAGAGGATTTTTTTATTAAAATCAAGCTACAAAGGAAATGAAAATGGCAGACATCATTCCACTTATCACAAAACCACACTCCAAATACTCTATCAAAGAACACAAAGAGAAGTTTCTCTTTAAGTTTTTAGCCCACTTATTTATTGGGCAGTTGTTTCTTTGAGGATTTGTTGTTGGGAGATTTAATTTTTTGAGTTCCAGGTATATTTCAGATATGAAACCCTTGTCCATTGTATGGCTAGTGAAGATCTTCTCCCAATTCATGGGTTTTCTATTGATCTTGTTAGCTATGTCCTTTGCCATGCAGAAGCTCTTCAATTTCATGCAATCCCATATGTCCAACATTTCTTTGATTTGTGTGTTTCTGGGTCTCGTAAGAAAATTTTGGCCTGTGCCAAGGAGACCTAGTATTTCTCCTATTCCATCCAGTAATGTTTTTGGAGTGTCTGCTTTGACTCCGAGGTCTTTGATCCATTTGGAGTTGATTCTGGTGCAGGGTGATATATAAGGATCTAGCTTTAGTTTTCTACAAGTGATTAACCAATTTTGCCAGCACCATTTACTGAAGAGGCTGTCGTTTTTTTTCCATTCTATTTTTTTAGCTTCCTTATCGAAGATTAGATGCCTATATATATGTAGGCTCATTTCTGGGTTTTCAATTCTGTTCCATTGGTCCTGAGGTCTGTTCTTGTGCCAGTACAAAGCTGTTTTGATTACTATGGCTTTGTAGTAGAGTTTGAAATTTGGTATTGATATTCATCCAGCACTGATCTTTCTGTTACGGATTGTTTTTGCCTATTTAGACTCTTTTATTGTTCTGTATGAATTTTTGGATTGCCTCTTCTCTGAAAAGGAAAGAAGGATGGCCAATAGACACATGAAGAAATGCTCAACCTCTCTAGCCATAAAAGAAATGCAAATCAAAACAACATTGAGATTCCAGCTCACCCCAGTTAGAATGGCTATAATCAAGAACTCTAATAACAACAGATGCTAGAGGGGATGTGGACAGAAGGGAACATTACTGCATTGTTGGTGGGAGTGTAAACTTGTTCAATCACTTCGGAAAGTAGTATGGAGGTTCCTCAAAAGACTCCACATAGAGCTCCCCTATGACCCAGCAATCCCACTTTGGGGCATTGCCCAAATGATCATAAACAAGACCATACTAAAGCTACCAGCACAACTATGTTTATTGAAGCATTATTTACCATAACTAAGATATGGAACCAACCCAGATACCCCTCAGTAGATGAATAGATCAAGAAAATGTGGTACATATACACAATGGAATTCTATGCCTCCATCAGAAAGAATGACATTGCCCCATTTGTTAGGAAATGGAAAGATGGAAAAAATTATATTAAGTGAAGTAAGCCAGGCCCAAAGAAACATAGGTCCTGTGCTTTCCCTTATTTGCAATAACTAGTGTATGTCTGAGACAAGCAGAAAAGGTCAGATAAGTTAATGTTAGGTGAAATGAACCCCAAGATAAGTATTCAAGTGTTTTTTCTTTCTTGTGATTGTTTCTAACATATTTGTAAGATGATTTCTTTGCTGCTTTGTATGTCCCTCCCCCGCGGTATAATCCCTGCTTTCATTGTATTTGATGTTGGTATAATTTGTGGAGGGGAAGGGAAAAAACAAATCATTTAAATAGGGATACAAATAGTGGACTCATTGAAACAATGAGATGTACAAATCGTTATGTCGAAAAACGAACTTTATAACTTTGGCCAGGGATGGGAGGGTATGGGGGTATAGAAGGGATGGGAAGGGGCAACAAAGGAGGAGACAACAATGCTTGATAAGAAATGTACTCATTACCATGCCCATGTAATTGTAACCCCTTTGTATGGTATTTTCACAATAAAAAAAAGACCCCAAAGATAAAAGACATGAACAGCATGGTTAAACAACTTGACCTAATAAATAATTACAGAGTAATTTATACAACAGAAGAACACCCATTCTAAGTATATGCAGCACATTTTCCAGAACTCATTCTATATTAGGCTATATACCAAGTTCCAACTAACTTCAAAGAGCAATTATACAAAGTATGTTTTCTAATCATAATAAAAATTAATTATGAATAAATGATAGGTATGTGTGAGAAATCCCTGCACATTTGAAAATCAAACTAGTCAGTTATGAATAACTCATTAGTAAAATAACAAAACAGTATTTTTTGTGTCTAGAAAATTTGTAAGTAAATGAAAATGAAGAGAATATGCCAAAATTTATGAGTTTAAAGTGTCTGAAAGAAGTCTAGATAGCTATATGAACATTTACAGTATAAAAGAACAGATTTCTATGAATAAAATTAGCTCTATGTAAAGAAATTAGATAAAAGAAACAAATTTAAATCAAAGAAAGCATAGGAAAGGATAGCATAAATATCTAACTAAAAATTAATGAAATGGAAAGCCCAAAACTAAAGGGCAAAAGCAAAGAAATCAGAAGAAAAATATTTGAAAAGACCAACAAAAGTGACAAATTCTTAGAAGTAGAAAAACCAAAATAACTAAATATGTCCTGAAACAGGAGTCATTATCACCAACCCTACAGAAAGTAGACAGTTTTAAATAGGCTGCTATGAGCAAGTCAGATAATAAGGATAAGATAATCACAAATTACTAAAACTATATCATGAAGAAAGATAAAAAAGATTTTCTTTTGAATGGTAGATTTTAAACAACAAATAAATAGAATTAGATCAGTAATTGAAAATATTCTTGCAAATAGTGTAGGCTTATATGACTTCACTTGTGACTTTTAGCAATATTTATTTACAAATAGAGTACACTCATACAAACATAAATATTTCCAGACAATAGTGACAGAAATAGTTTCCAATTTATTCTAGGATATCAATATTATCCTGATATCAAAGACAAAATAAGAGAACACACAAAAATATAAACCATATCAATATTCGTCATGCATATAGACATAAAAATCCTTAACAAATAACTACAAGAGTGAGCCTAGCAACATTTGAAGAAATGGGATATATTCTCTAAAGCAAGGATCGTTTGATACCTGTAAATTAGTTATTGCTGTACACTATATCATTAGATAAAAGAATACACGACAAAACAAAAAATAAGTGCACCGATAACCTAAGCAAAAATAGAGGAAAACACTTCTCAAAATTTGCACCTATCTTTTAAATTAAAAATAAACATATTCTCTGGGCACTGGTGGCTCACGCCTATAATTCTATCTACTCAGGAGGCTAAGATCTGAGGATCATGCTTCAAAGCCTGTGTTGGCAGGAAAATTGGTAAGACTCCTATCTCCAATAAGCCAGAAGTGGAGCTGTGGCTCAAGTGGCAAAGCACTAGCCTTGAGCAAAAAAGGGAAGTGCCCAGACTCTAAGTTAAAACCCAGAACTGGCACACACATAAAACAACAACAAAAACATTGTTCCACAAAACATTCAACAAAGGAATTTCCTACATCTAAGACCTTGTACCAAAAAAATCATTGCTAACATAATTTTTAATCCTGAAAGCTTGACTCATGATAACCAGATACACACAGACATAAAGACACACAGACACACACAGACACACACACACACACACACACACACACACCTAAAAGCATATCAGGAGCATAGTGAGATGCTTGTTCTTATTGTTTCTATTAAACACTATATTTCAGATTTTAGCCAGTACAACAAAGTAAAAAAGAAACAACAAACCAAGTGAGGTGGGTAGATGAATAGAGAGAGGAATAATGGGTGGATACAGTCATAATACCCAATGTACATATGTGAAAATGGAACCTGGTAACTTGATGAGATGAGTTGGGTTGGGATAGATGAGAAGAATGATGGGAGAGGTAATATGGATCAAGATGCATTGTATGCATACATTGACATGTTGAATTGAAATGAATTTTCATAGCTATTTAAAAGATAATAACAATGCATAACCAAAATATAAAAACATTTCCTTCTACCCAAATTAGCTTCTCAAATCTCATACTAATAATTAGACTTTCATATCCAGAGTATGAAAAATAATTTCTAAAAATATTTCCTATTGAGGACGGCGCAAGATGGCGGAGGAGAAGCTGGAATCTGAACAAGCTCTCGCATAGAAAGCAGTTTTAGAGTTCCAGTGAACAGTCCTTAGCCAGAGAATCACACCAAGTGTGCCATCACAGGACAGAGAGTTACACAAGAGAGGGAAGCCAAGGCAAAAAAGACACATCTGAGCAATTGCCAGCGGCAGGGTCGCAAGCGGCGGAGACCGCAGCCATACATGAGCGCTCACACAGAGAGTCCAGGATGAAGGAGCCAGACGCAGCGGGCGAGCGGATTCTACTCAACACCAGCAAGAACCGACAAGGAGCAGACATCTTCATCCTGCAGTTTGCAGACCAGAGACGACCCAGGATCCAAGACTCGGCATGAGTAGAAGCCCATCGTCCTCACTCCTTCTCAAGGAGCAGAGGAGGG